AAACCAATTAATTATTTTGAGCATTAGGGGTTATCAAACAATCATTTAAAACAGCTTACATTTAAATCAACTATTTACTATATATTGATCTGACCTCAAGTTTTGTTTTAAAAGTGAGAATTTAACACCCATCATTTGCCACTCACTCATGATTGACAATTTGACTTAATTATGTTTTGATTAATTTGCCAGAAAGCAGCAGAACTTTAAAATCCAGTCTTTTTTTTTATCTCATTCACAATACAGCAGGAAAAAAAGGTCTGATAATATTATTCAAGCTAAAAAAAGAACTGTTCTTTTTTTTTTTTTTTTTTGGCTAGAGTGGAAATTTCCCTTAATGATAAAGATGTGGAAATTACTCTTAAAAATGCCCCAATTTCTCTCAGTAAAAAATATGTATTGCAATTGGCTTTTTAATTAATCTTTGTTCGAAATGTGCTGCATTAAGATGTTTTCTTTTTTTGTGAGCAATTTGTTTCGCTCCGTCTCAAGGTTGCTCGACTTTACACCGGTGCACAGGAAAGACTTACGGGTGTAGGTTCTAACCCTTTCATAAATCTCCAGGCCTTTCTGGCTGGATTCTAATTAGCAAAGGGCAAAAAGTCTTCTGATCACTTTTTCACCACAGACTACATTAAAACAATGGCAGAGAATGAAACAGGTGATGTCATACATGGGTGGTAAAATAGTTATTAAGCTCTGACTTTTTTTGTGGGTAATTTTTTAAATATATATATATATATATATATATATTTAACTTTAATCTTCTTCAGTCTTATGTGAGACATTGGTACCATTTTTAGTAACTTTCAAGAGTCATTATGCATACATTATACTGATTTTATTTATGTACATTCATATATATATATATGAAGAGTTCAGATGCAAAAGCCTCTAAATGCCATTTTAAATTTTCTTCTTTATTGATGATTTTTATCAAACTTGTATATTTAAGTTCAGTGATTTCACTTAAATGGCAATGATAATTACCTATTAATTGTTATTTAAGTGAAATTACTGAACTTAAATATACAAGTTTGATAAAAAATCATCATCAAAGAAGAAAATTTCAAATGGCATTTAGAGGCTTTTGCATCTGAACTCTTCATATATATATATATATATATATATATATATATATAATTTGAACATATCTGTGAAGCATTATATAATATGATAATGTTTGTTAATGTTATTAATGAAAGTTATTATAAATTGCAGCTAACATATTAAATGATACTGTACATATTTGGACAGTCACCGATAAATAAATACAAAAAACATGAGTTTAAAAAATATTTAACATTTTACAGTGTATTGATTGAGCAATAGGACATCTTTTTTAGAAAGATTTTTTGTTGTTGTTGTTTTTACTTCAAAATGCGCATTAAAGAAAGGGGGAAAATAATGTAAAGACATACTGTAGTGCTGAAATATGTTGTAAACCGGTAGTTTTGACAGTTATTGTGTCTTAATGGTGTGCGAATGGTTCAGTTTTAATCATTTCAACTTTCGTCAGCCTCTCAATTACAAGTGATGCGGACAGCAGAAACAAAGGCAAACCCTTTCAACTCTTATCAAGAGTTGATAAGCAGCCTTTTGTGTTGCTCCCGTGGACTTCCACACATTGTGTCTGTATCTGTCGTTCTTTCCTTCAGACGCTTCAAGTCTTTGAGCCTTTGCAAACGGACATACAAAGCTCTGCTCATAATACAGAGAGCTGAGTGATCACAGGATGTTGTCACACATTAAACAAGTCCTCCTGTCTGTGGTGGGCTTTTGAAAATAACACTGTCATCTGTATGTGACAGCAGAGATGAGCAAGTTCACTAGCAGAGATAGCTGAGATACCGGCTGCTCACTTAGCGTGGAAACACACCACACAGCGGCACTACAGAGTGTGTAATCTGGTGAGGAGAGGGACTGTAATGGAACCAACATGACATGACTGCTGGTCTGGGGAAAATTATTGTATGTAGTGTATAGTGTGTGTGTGTGTGTGTGTGTGTGTGTGTGTGTGTATAAAAACTTTTTCCATACATTTCATTTACAATTAGAGTCTCTCAACAGTTCACACTCTGTTTTATGCAAATCTATGCTTTAAAATGTTATCGTCATGAAAACACAGATTTGTCAGGAGAGAGGTTGTCAAAGAGATACTAAATTTATGATGAATTCTTTTTAGAATCTGAGAGACTAAAATATACAACAATCTAGTTCAGCTGAATAGACACAATTTAGCTTTCAAAACATACCCAATAAAAAGGCCAATATGAACCACAAATGATGAAGAAAAAGGCTCACTCTCAGAAAAAAAAAATGGTACAAAAGCTGTCACTGATGGTTAAAAAGGTTTTAGTATGTAGGTAATATTTACATTTTTGATACATTTTAGTGCATTTGAGGTACCAATACACTGTAAATAAATTATATGAATAAGAAATATGACAACTGTGTTTTTACATTGCTTCAA